TTGCCCTGCCCTCTCCTGTAGCTCTCTGCCTCCCACTTGCTTGCTGCCCTGCCCCATCCTGTAGCTCTCTGCTGCTGGCTTGTAGCCAGTAGGTCACTGCCAATCTCCTGTAGCTCTCCCTGCACCCCCCTCATAGCTTGCTGCCCTGCCCCCTCCTGTAGCTCTTCACAGCCCACCCTCCTGCTAATCCGTGATTTGGTCGTTATGCCTCAGGGCATAAGGGCTAATTAGCATATTCCTCTCCTATTATATGTGTGTGTGTATGTGTGTGTGTGTGTGTGTGTGTGTATTTGTAATCCTTACCAGTGAATATTTCTGTTGATTTTTTTGATAATGGAAGGAAGGGGTGGGAGGGAAGGAGAGAGAGTTTTTGAGATAGACACATCAGTTGGTTACCTCCTACCCACGCCCTGTCCCATGCCAGGAATCAAACCTGTAACTCAGGTACCTGCCCTTGACCAGGAATCAAACCCAAGACCCTTTGGTACACAGGCTGATGCTGTAACCCAGCGGTTCTCAACCTGTGGGTCGCAACCCCTTTGGCGGTCGAACGACCCTTTCACAGGGGTCGCCTAAGACCATCCTGCATATCAGATATTTACATGACGATTCATAACAGTAGCAACATTACAGTTATGAAGTAGGAATGAAAATAATTTTATGGTTGGGGGTCACAACATGAGGAACTGTATTTAAAGGGCCAGAAGGTTGAGAACCACTGCTGTAACCACTGAGCAACTCTGGCCAGATCCACCAGTATTTATCTTTCTGTGACTGGCTTGTTTTATGTGGCATAATGCCTTTCAGGTTCATTCAAGTTGTTGTATATGGCAGGGTATTGTTTTTTTTTTCTCTCCTTTTTTATTTTTATTTTTCATTTTTATTTCTTTTGGGTGGGAGCCAGATATTCTTTTTTAAGGCTGAATAATATTCCAAGTGTGTGTGTGTGTTTGTGTGTGTGTACCTGTTTTTTAACCACTTATCCTTGGATGGACACTTAAGTTATTTCTTTATTTTGTGTATTGTTTGTAAGAGTAGTACAGCGAAGACGGTACAGGTATCTCTTCCATATTCTTATTTCATTTTCTTTGGGTGTATACCAACAAGTGCTATTGCTGGTTCATAGGATAGTTCTACTTTGCTACTTTTGAGATATTTCCATACTGCTTTTCATATCGCCTTTAGGGATTCACATGTCTACCAACAGCATGTGGCCCACAACGAATACTCATTAATGATGACTCATTTATTTCAGCCCTTGGTATTCAGCATGTCTCTATCAAAATAAACCTGCGTTTCTATGAAAATTAAAGCTTTTCTTTTTCTGTGGCCCACCTACACTTAATGATCTCTTTGAATGTTTTGTGTCTACTTGAGATGTATATACTGCCATAGTTAGACAGTGTTTTTTATATATTTGTTAAATTTAGTTGATATTAAGTGTTGTTCAAGTCAAATATTTCCTTATAGATTTTCTGTCTGGATGAACTACACATACCAGAAAGATGAGTATTGACGTGTGCTGTTATGATTATGTTGGCTGCCCTTTCTATAGTCCAGCCTGTTAATATTTGCTTAATATATTTAGTTGCATCGATCTCGGGTGCATATAAATTTATAATGCTTATATCCTCTTTTTAAAAAAATGTTGATTTATTAATTTTTGAGAGAGAGGGAAGAAGAGAGAGATTCGTTGTTCCACTTACTTATGCATTTATTGGTTGACTAGAGGCCCGATGCACGAAAATTCATGCAAGAGTAGGCCTTCCTTCCCCAGGCTGCTGGCCCCGGCTTCCCTCCTCCAGCCACTGGCAGGCACCTGGGACCCAGCTGGCTTCCCTCCGGGCCCCGGCTTCCTCAGAAAGGATATCTGGAATGACGTCCAGAAGACGTCCGGTCTAATTAGCATATTACCCTTTTATTATTATAGATTCTTGTTCATGCCCTGACCAGGGATCAAACCCATGACTTTGCTGTATCAGAAATATGCTCTATGCCCTGACTGGTTTGGCTCAGTGGATAGAGCGTCAGCCTGCGGACTCAAGGGTCCCAGGTTCAATTCCGGTCAAGGGCATGTGTCTTGGTTGCAGGCACATCCCCAGTAGGGGAGTGTGCAGGAGGCAGCTGATCAATGTTTCTCTCTCATTGATGTTTCTAGCTCTCTATCCCTCTCCCTTTCTCTCTGTAAAAAAAAATCAATAAAATAAAATAAGAAATATGCTCTAACCAAATGAGCTACCCAGCCAGGGCAATGGATATATCCTCTTGATGAGTTGATATCTTTATCATTATAGAATGACTTTCTTAGTCTCTTGTGACAGGTTTTGACTTAAAGTCTATTTTGTCTGGTATAAGTATAGCTACTGATAATAGTAGAGTGGGGCCTTGACTTATGATTTTAATTCGTTCCGAGACCGAGCTCGTTAAGGAGCTCATTAACTCAAATTACTCTATCAACTCAATGCAAAAAATCGGCCGAGAGACAGCTGGTATCTCAAAAAACTCGTTAGTCGGGACACTGGTAAGTCAAGGCCCCACTGTATAAGCTACTCTCTTTTGATTTCCATTTGCATGGATTATATTTGTTTTCAGTTTCTTCACTTTGAGCCCATTTCTGTCCTTAAAGCTGAAGTAAGTCTCTTTAAGGCAACGTATATTTGAAACTTGTCTTTTTTAATTTCATTAACCTACTGTGTGCGATTTGATTAGAGAATTTAAGTACTTGACAATTGCCATCTTGTTCATTTTTGTCTGGCTGTTTTGTCGTTCTTTTAATTTTTTTTTTTCCTCTCTTGCTACCTTCCTTTTTGATTTGATTTTTCCATAGTGGTATGTCTTTATTTCTTTACCTTTATTTTTGTTCATATACTGTAGGATTTTGCTTTCTGATTACCATGAGGTT